AATATCTTATATTGAATGTTGAGAGCCTTTGTTTGTCTGAACAGATAATCCCACGCTCCAGTGTGACCGCGCGAAGATCGAAATAAAGACCTATTCACTACTTGTCTGGTTTCTTCTATCAATAGCACGAGGGTTACTTTAAGGCACAAAATTGGTGAGCCCTTTTTGAACACAAATTTAACCTCATTTCTGTTATTAACATTTTTTTTACTTAATCGTAAAAGTAGACCTGATTATCCGTAAACTAAATTGAGTATATTACTAGTTTATTCCGTATTATCTTAAGTTATTCGTGTTATAGTAACCACTTTTTGTGCTAACTTTATTGCTATATTTGTCACATACCTCATGTCAGACTCAATAGAAACCCATAATCTGGAAGATTTGTCACCAGTGGAGATAGACACTGTTATGACTACGAAATCCCGACTTCCAGAATTTGATCATAGTGATCCTGAGTTGTGGCTTGCTCAACTAGAGCATTATTTCACGAGACACAATATCAAATCTGAAGGGATTCGCTATAGAGACTTGTGTTCTATCCTTCCTCCTTCAGTCGCCAAAGAAGTCCGTGACTTGATTTTAAGTCCACCATCACCACAACCATACACCATCTTAAGACGAGAGATAATGAACCGTTTATCATTATCAGATAGTCAAAGAATCCAAAGACTTTTTCAAGGTGAAACACTAGGTGATCGGTCGCCGTCACAGTTTTTACGTCACCTCCAAGTCTTAGTGGGTGATAACACAGTGGGTGAAGCAGTCCTAAAACAAGGATGGATACAAGCTCTCCCATAATACGTCCAACACTGTTTGGATGCACAGGATCCTGAAACCTCATTATCTCATTTAGCGCGTATAGCCGACAGAATAATGGAAAGAGGTCCTCCAACTGGATCAGGCACAATAAATCACACACAAAAAGTAGAATCAGCAAAAGACTTCGTCATAGAAGGACTCATTGCGAGTGTTAAAAGTCTCACTGAGGCTGTCACCAAAATGCAAATGGGTCATAGGAACAGGAGCAGGTCACCACAACGACCACGATCCAAGTCACAAAACAGGTCACAAATGTCCAGACAATCTGGGCAGTTTTGTTGGTACCACTGGAAGTTTGACGTCAACTCAACCAAGTGCATGCAACCATGCGCCTGGCTTAAGCATAATTCTAAGACAGCGGGAAACGAGTAACCCCTCCCCAGGTCGCGACGACTGAGGAGGGGCGCCTAAACAGTCGCTTGTTTTATGTTAGAGACAGAAACTCGGGCTTGAATTTCTTGGTGGATACTGGCGCTGCTCTTAGCATCATCCCTCAAAATAAAACTGAGATTAGTCGAGAAACATCCCCAATTACACTTCAAGCTGCAAATAAAACTAAAATTGCGACATTTGGGCAGAAAACTTTAACCCTAGATTTGGGGTTCAGGAGGCAATTCCCTTGGGTTTTCACGGTAGCCGACCTAGATCTGGCAATACTGGGGATGGACTTTCTAGAGAGATACGAATTTCTAGTTGACACCAAGAAACGGCGATTAACACTAAAAGAAACTTCGTATTACACAAAAGGCGAAGAAAGTCACATCAACTCTCTTAACTTGATTCAAACTCCCCCAGTAACAACAGCGAAATTCCAAGATATACTCGCGGAATTTCCAAACTTAACTAAACCAAACCCACAGCCTTCTAAAGACAAACTAAAAGTGAGTCACATTATCAAAACCGAAGGTGCACCGGTGTTTGCAAAACCCAGGAGACTAGCACCAGATAAACTCAAAATCGCTAGGGCGGAGTTTGATTATATGCTACAACTGGGTATCATCCGTCCCTCTGATAGTCAATGGGCATCCCCTTTGCATATGGTCCCAAAGAAGAATGAAGGTGACTGGCGACCGTGCGGGGATTACAGAGCCCTAAACCGTCAAACCGTACCAGATAGGTAACCAATGCCTCATATCCAAGATTTCACCAACGGTTTACAGGGTATGAACATATTCACTAAAATTGACTTAGTCAGGGCATATCACAATATCCCGGTGGCTGATGAAGATATTCCCAAGACAGCTATTACTACACCCTTTGGCTTATTCGAGTTTGTACGCATGCCATTCGGCCTGAGAAACGCGGCACTTCCTCAGATATTCTTATTCCACATTCTCACACTTTCCCTTGAAAGCACGCAGGAAACCGTCGGCGATAGTTGTAGAAGAAATCACATGGTACAAAATAAGATGACAAGCTAGTGAAGAAGAGACATCCATGGACTATCGTTGACAGCGAGTTGATAATTTTCCCTTGAGATGAGAAATAGAACTAAGGTGTTTTCGGTAGTTAGGTTAATCGAACCGACGTTTCTACGGAAGTCGATTCTAAGGGGAAGCTAATGTAACAGCTTAGGTTGTTTGGTTAAGAGTTGACCCCAAACAACCAAGCATATGCAAAAACAGTATTGTTCAAGTATTCATTCACTTCCTTGTTTTTGTATAAGCGTTATATTCCCTAATATCTTATATTGAATGTTGAGAGCCTTTGTTTGTCTGAACAGATAATCCCACGCTCCAGTGTGACCGCGCGAAGATCGAAATAAAGACCTATTCACTACTTGTCTGGTTTCTTCTATCAATAGCACGAGGGTTACTTTAAGGTACGAAAATGTGGTTGACATTTGCCAATCAAACTTAATGCTTTCTCCCAAAATATTAATTCTCCTGACCACTGAATTATTCAAAACTGACCACATACCTGACAATTAATCAAAATAAAAGTCCAAAATGTCTGCTGACGTCACACCCATTCTGATTAGTCGATAACCTCATTAAATCGTGTTACGAACGTTGAATTGGTTTCACTTCCTACCAGTAATCCTATTACAAGCAAACTAGACAATTCGCTAGTATAAGAAACGTAGTCAAGACCCTATGATACCTGGAAAAAAATAATAATACAAAAAAATGAAAAAGGCTCAAATTGCTTCGATATAAAAAGAAGATAGCCAATTGTATATCACAATACAATTGTATAATCACACATAATTCCATACTCTCATCTCCTTTCCGAATCGCCTTCACTTGTCGGTTCCATGTCTGCTCATACCTTCCTTTAACCTATCAAAATGCTCTTTCTTAACAAATACTTTAATAAAAGAAAATTAGACTGAGTAATAATACCTTAAACATTCCTTCATGAATATTGGCTACTCTGCCTCTCGTCCTTTCCTTTACTTGCTCCCTCTTTCAGCCCCCTTGTGATATGGAACGAAAGATTTCATCCTGCACCATCCTCAGAGCCTTAGAAATTCAAAAGGGACATAAGGTTATAACTTTCAGAAGCTCCCACCTTCAATGGACCTATCCTTGACCATCAGTTGCACATTCGCAACGCAACTTTCATGAAGAGCGTTAACTGTGATACTGAATAAAACCATCTACATTCATATCTTATAAATTTTCAACCCTGCTGGGTAATTTACTACAGTGGAAATTGTATCATTTGTAACAATTTGATCTTGCCTGTAAACTGGCATGCCTCATGTAACAAACTGTTATTTGAGAATAAACTATTATTATTATAACTATCGTGTGAAGAGTAATGAAGGCAAGCCTAAATAAAGGATAACTTTTTCACAGTTTTTCCAGTAGCAATAAGACTGAAATTCATGGATAAAGGGGCTGTAAAGCACTCCTACGATAAAGCCAAATAAACCGGCACTCCATGGATAGACTGGGATATTCGACGTTTACTAAGATAAAAGAAGAAATGCCATCAACCTAAACACACCAACTACGATGAAACGCTGCAGGTCGGTAAGAAACGAGTGTATTATTAAATCCGCGAAGCTCAGAGAAAATATGAAATGCGGTTGACATAATTTGCAGTCAAACAACCCAAGAGATTTTTCTCGTATACAAATTACAGACCATGGATGCATCACTGGATTTCAAAACTAATTAAAGAGGGAAGATCAGTAAAATGCAGGGACTATGGCAGTTGACACTCAGGAACCTCTTCTAGACAAAGAACTAGACCCAAATACAAGGTCAACAAACAGCCCGCTTGCCGTGAACTTTGATCAGGATGACATACTTTAGGCTCTTAGCACCTTAGACAGGAAAGTCAACACGACCAAATTAACTACACCCAAAATCCTGAGACAAATTGCATAGTATATTGTAGCCCCACTAACTGCGTTATTCGACATGTCACATGACCAAGGTGTTCTACCTATGGACTGGAAGGGCGCAATCGTCACTCCCATGCATAATACAGGACCAAGACAACTTTAATCGAACTATAGGTCTATCAGCTTCACCATTGTCGTAGTTGAAACACTGATGACTACCAACGCGGCAAAGTGTGTCTACATGCAGTTTGGGGATACAAAAGTTAATAGGTGCAAAAAAGTGGAAGTGCTTGCACTCGTGGTTCGGTCTCACAAGAATCTTGTGGTGGCAGTGAATCATGATCTTAAGACAACCGCCCATTGCCGAGAGGTCGCAGTTAACGGCTTTAGAACCCACTGGACTCTAAGACAAACATTCACCATGTGAGATACCACTATGTTCATAACAGTATACACAACCTTAGTGAGAATTAAGCTCGAAAACTGTGTTCATACTTCAAGATTCTGTTTGAAATGTGAGTCGGAAGAATGCTATTCGTGCAAATCCGGAACACCGTGGTTTACCATAAAAGTGACTTGAAAAGCTCAATCTCTTTACTCGGCCCTATAGCAGAATTTGGTGTATAGAACACTAATAAGTGATTTTGGGCCTAATACATCCTCTTTTTTCCGCCCACTATCGGGACATCTCAGATAACATAGCAAGCGAGTAGGAAATAAAAGAACGAATAAAATAACCTGCTACCCAAAACAGTGGTGTCAGTATCCTCATTTGAATTAAGGTTGACATTAAGTTCTATGACATTAAGGGGGACCAAAGGATTTTACTAACAGCGAAACTCTGAGGAGCACGTCGTTATAAGCATTTCAATTTTAATACCAATCAGTATGCAAGATCAACCTTCGCTTTCAAAGTTTATTTCCTGTTACCCAGATCATGGCACTGAAAAATCACTAATTTGCTTCATTTCGTTTCTATCTTTTAACGTTTGTTTTATCTTATCAAACAACTAAAATCACCGCACAAGATGTTCAATATGATCTCTCTACGTTTATACGCTCAAAAAACTCTGACTAGGTAATTCATGTATTAGAACATCGTGTTCAAAGTATAACAAACTGATAGGAGCATTTCAGGGTGGTCAGACAATTTGCGTAAACAAACAAAGCTATCTGATACTATATATTCCCGAGAGGACAAATATGGAGCGCATAATTATCATCCTCTACCAGTAGCTTTAAGCAAAGGCAAAGGTATTTTGAAATTTTTTATCTCATAGTTAGGTATTTATGTTTGGGATGTTGAGGGAAACTGTTATATGGATTTCCTGAGTGCTTATAGTGCAGTAAACCAAGGACACTGTCATCCACGTATTATTGAGGCACTCAAAACTCAATCAGAAACACTTACTCTTACCTCACGTGCATTTTATAACGTTTGTTTGGGAGAATTCGAGGAGATGGCAGCAAAAATGTTTGGGTACGATAGGGTTTTACCTATGAATTCAGGTACGAGTTTTGTATTATTCAACGTTTAATTATATCAGATGGGTTTTTGTGGAGATTGTAGTAATTTCAATTGTTAAGATCATGAGTCAGTTGAAGCTAGACCACCATATAAAACCTGGAAGCACTGGACGGCCGTTTCGTCCTATTGCGGGACTCCTCAGCAGTGTGCATCCACGACCTCTCCCCCTGTGAGATTCGAACCCAGGACCTTCTGGTTTTTCGCCCGAACACTTAACCACTAGACCACTGAGCCGGCATCCAATTGTGTTAATGTCTAACTTCAACTAATCCACGAAATTAAGCGACACATTCACCATTGTCTTCAGTGAGATAGTAACTCAACTTCGTGCATTAGTTGAAGTTAGACATTAACACCGTTGGATGCTGGCTCAGTGGTCTAGTGGTTAAGTGCTCGCGAGCGAAACCAGTAGGTCCTGGGTTTAATTATATATTAAACGCAAGTCACATATCCGATCTACAGCTTCATGGAGTTATATCATGACCTAAATGACTTACATTTACAAGGTCTTTTTATGCCACGCGACGTTTTAGAAGATAAGGAACTGATATATATATATTCTTTACAGGTAATATAGATTTTAACAACAATGTAATGGATCAAAAATATCAATTAGCTATAAAATTTTGATCAGTAATTGAGTTTATTACAGGAGATATTAATAAGCACACTAAGGTTTCGGATATTTCAAAAATACTCGTTGGAGTGTTGGACTATACTTATACGTGATGTATCTACCAAAATTCGAACTTATGGTGTTTTTTATAACTTTTTGTGGTAGCAATATGACATCATAATTACATTTACGGTGTGTAAAAACCGGCCATATACCTTTGTAGATCGTTTATATTGTTTCATGCAGCAATATTACTTGTGGTGACTGAAGGTTGAAATTGATTTCAAAGTAAACAAATCAGTCTCTTCATATACTTATTTATACCAAATGAATAAACCTAAAACTCACGAATATGAAATAAACCCAATAAAAATAACTAGCATTCATTTATATGTACCAGTAGGTTTGGGAACGTTAGCTAAAAACTGTCATTATTTCACTACAAAAGAATAAAACCTACAGCAATAAAACATGATATTTTGTTTTCTAATTTCGTGGTCATACGGATATTTTGACTATTATTTTAAATATTTTAAATCAAATTAAGACTGTTTTATGATTAACGGCTCTTTAGTTTGTATCTAAGTTTTCAAAGAAAATATTGTTTTTAGATTCATTAAGTCGCAAGAATTGTGAAGTTGAAGGACATAATGTACACCTGCATTTCACTGAAGATATTTAGTCTAAATCCTAAGATTATGGTTTTTTTCCGGCCATTCAGTTCTTTTAGATTCAAATATATCCCAATCAAACCCCTGTAATTAAGGCAAAATTGTGCAAACTCCGTATATTAGAAAGGTCAACACTGTGGACATTATGATGATCTTGTTTGCAAACAGCAAACACCAGCCCTATTAGCAGACGTATGTACTAGTTGTATCCTTCTATGCGGAGCAATATTAATGATGAAATACTTTCGTCTCTATTTGATCATTAAAAAACGTCTCACAAATGAAGAATCACAAGTGTTTCTGAATGCATGCTTTGAAATTCGCGAGCTCATTACTCAGTGACCCAAATATTATTAGGCGTACGAATGTTCAAGGACTAACAGAAGCTTTAAATTTCATTTGTAATATATAATTAATGGTCATTGTTTCGGTGAATTTTATAGATTACAAGTGATTCTTTCTGTTTTGATCTTCATTAACTTTCAGTGTTTCACGAAATTTATTCTTAGATCCACAAATACATCATTTTACAAGTTATTTTGAGGCTTCCATCCATTCTACTTGACATTAATTTACACAGATCACTTAAAATGTATATAAATTTTCAAGCACTCTCTGAGTTGAGTACATTTAAAAACCAATTTTTTTAAAGTAAACTGAGTGATTATCCATGCTTTTAATGGTTCTTGGTTGACTTGCTTTCTTATTTACTTTATTTGATCACTTTACCTTCGACTTCATGACCAAAATCGTAGGTTATATTTTATATAGCTGAGATCAATGCAGACACTAAAAACTGTCAACACACATCGTATTTTTTTACAATGTCGAATTAAATTCTATCTTTAATCATCGCATACACGATCCCTCAAAGCATTACATTGTTTCTGCCGAATTTAAGTGTAAACAAAAGTTGTGAACATAGCTTGAATCATACGACCGGCTCAATCTCACTGGATCGTTATAAAACAGCATATAAACCATCGTTTATTTTCACAACAGTTTCCCACATGTCTTTTTTCGATTTTGTCGTCTTATTGTGGTGTCAGTTAAAATTTATTATGCAAATTAAAATACTAAAGGACCAAAGGTTATGCGATTTACCAACTTTTTCTTTGTTAACCTTGCTTAGTAATTTTCAGACTTTTGGAGAAAACATACTTTGTGTTGCGTTCGAACTTCAAGCCTATCATCGGGATTAACGATAAAAGTTATTCTTTATTTAAATATATACATATACATGTATATGTATACATAAATATATTATTATGTTTTGACTAAAAAATTCCGGAAAACAAAGAGCATCCGCTTCTACTTATTTTTTTTCGCTTTTTTTCAACGTTTTGCGAAATAAGACGCATTCATAAAGTAAGTCGGTCTCCGTAAGACACTGTGAGAAAGCTCGACTGCGCTTCTGTTATTCATCTTGTTAGGCTCATGTTTTCGTTCTAACACTGCATAATAACTTCAGCCAAAGAAAAAAATTTCCCTCAGGTTCTATGTCACTTATAACTAACTGACTAATTTTGGTGTGCACAAATTATGTAAAAAAATAGTTATAAAGACAAAAGTGATGTGTTGCATATGCAATTGACGATAACTATCAAATAATCGCCATTGTCAAACCGTTTTCAACATTATAAACAACAAAGCTGGTTTTATTGTATTATATAGGAGAACGTTATAACTTTTAATTTAAAAACAGTGAAATCGGGTACCATTTCACCTAATTGGGACATTCCCTTTTTGAGCGTTTTTGGCTACATGTAAAAACAGGTTTTTTCTGTATTTACAGTATTAACTTTAAAATTGCTATTGTTACACATATAACGAAATAATGATGCTGAAACAATATATGGCATGTTTATTATTGTTTCCTATACAAATCATTTTAGTCTTTTTATTTTATTTCGTTACTGCTTTGACACTAATATCTAATTAAATTCACTCAAAGAGATTACTATACAGTTATTCTTGTCACTGATAATAGCACAACCTTCAGTATGTAAATTATGTTTAAAATGTAAAGTAAACACCAAAATGTGTGATTAAAACTTCTTTGAAGTGACGTTAAGCCTTACAATCGTCTTATATAATACACAGGCAATAATTGTAGATACGAGTTATTTCAACTGTTTTAGATGTCAACCAGTAGTTAATTTTAAGTTTTACCGGGATAATTGTTTTGTGAAAACAATCCACTTTCTTAATAGAGGAAAGTAAATATTTTTAACAAAAATGTTTGAAGGAAAATGGAAAGATAATTTGTTCATATTTATACTAGCGGTTAATTTACATAACTGATATTTATTATCTAAACAGTGAAATTTTCGTATTTATAAGAATGAAGTGTTTTACAAATATATAGGAGTCGAAGCTGGTGAAACTTCGATAAAACTTGCACGAAAATGGGGTTACAAAGTAAAGAATATTCCAGATGGACAAGCCAGAGTAATATTTGCTGAAGGAAACTTTTGGGGTCGCACTTTAGCTGCATGCTCTTCATCTACTGATCCTACTTGCTACTCAGGATTTGGACCATTCATGCCCGGATTTGTCATTGTTCCTTATGATGACTTGAATGCTCTCGAAGTAAGTTTGTTTTCTAGTTAGATTGAAGATCAAGTTAAAATTGTTAGCTTTAGGTTTTCGTTACTTTATAACATTTTGGAATATATATGCCAGATTTTAATTGCTTGATACGTTAAGAGCGTTTTTGTGGCTGTGTTTTAGAGTCTTATATATTGAATGATTCTGTTTTCCTTGCATTTATGCACATATATTATCTGGCGATATAATGATATTTCAATTTCTATTCAGTAGTTAATAAGTCCCGCTGGTCCTAGCATTTAATTTTAATGTAAATAACCAGGTGGTTGATAACTCATATTTCAATTGATTTGTTGACTGATTTTAGGTGTTTCTTTTTATGATGTAGTCAGTATCATCTTTCAAGAAACTATTTTTGCTCCATTAAACTTTTTATTAACCTCAAATCTGTTCCCTTCTCGGTTGGGATTTCTGACACATAAATTTTAGAATAGTATGATATTTGGCAACATGTAGTTCCCTTTAAATTTGTATTGTGGTTTTGGTCATGTTGGGCTCACGAAAAAATCAGCCTCAGATTATTTGTAACTGATGTGAAACTATCCAAATAGATCTATATATGTTATTATTATTATTATTATTATTATTATTATTATTATTATTATTATTATTAATGGCTTTATTCAATATTATATTTTGGTACAATATAGAATTCTCAGCACAGGGTATTTCAAAAAGTTTCTTACGCAAAACAAACAGTGACAAAGACAAAAAAGGTTAAAAAAAACCGAAAACTGTACAACTTTTCAAATTAAAGACATGTTAAGAATGCTGGTTATTGACTAGGTTAACTCTAACAACCTGTTCGTCACAGTATATTTGCTAGGTAAAGTATTATAGAACTTTTGCTTGCGTGCATGGATTCCAATGTAATTACGTCTCGTTCTACCAGAAGATATACAAGGGGAAAGATAAGAGTAAAGATGATGGTTAGTATCTGATAAAATAACACCTGCCAGGAGTTTGCATGATTTTAGATGTCTACCCACAACCATTTTAATTATGACCTCGAAAGATTCACCACACATCTTGCTAACTGCCTTCAGCACTCTCCGCAATACAGCAAAGTCTTTTCTCAAAAGCCCGGGAAAGAATAATGGAGAACAGTAAAGAATAATAGGTAATATACAAGAATTGACAAATTGTAAGAGTAAATGACGAGTAATCCCAAGAGCATGTAATCTCTTTATGTAGTAAGTCAGACGGAAAACCTTCTTCGATAACAATGAAACGTGGGAAGACCAAGAGAAATCAGAGGTAAAGGTGACACCAAGATAATTGACGTTCGACACTGTGTTAGATCAGCTATATAAATATTTTCTTTAATACACTTACATTGTGGGGTTGTCTGGAGAAGTGACAAAAGGGTGAAAAGTATTTCAGATGATAAGTACAAATTTGAGAGTTTAACAATTAGTCAAATCTGAGTAATAAAAGTATGTACTCCTTTATTGTACGTAGAAAAAACGTAAAATCAATGTTTGATGGACATCACATGGGGTGGCTGAAAAGTCATTAGAATACATTGGAAATGTATTTTAAATCAGAAATATTTAAAAAACTTGTCTAATGTATAAACTCTAACATTTCAATAAAATCAGCTTCATTTTCTTACTACACTTACCTACACTTACTACACTTCCTAAGATCTAAACTGGTTAATATTTGTACTCTTTCCTGAACCGTTTACTTAAAAAGTTTCTGCCTTAGGTCAGCGTTTTGTTTCTTTTGTAAACTAAACATTGTGTTATTTTAAAGTCATTGAAACTCAACTGTGCGTTAATTTAAGAGTCAATAAACTCAGCTATACAAGCCAATGTATTAGAAAGAACTCAAATAAGTAATTTGTGTATATGGTTTACGAAGAGCTTTTTTAGTTTAAAGACAAAAATAGTTATTGATAAAAATAAGGAATGGGGTCAGTTTTGTAAGAACACAAAATCGGAAAATGTTACGTTGAAGTAACTTGATCTATGACTACCCTTTTAAAGGTCATAATCGTGAGTTTTCTTTGAAATCATCTATGTATGAAATGTGTGTCATCAATAAAAAAAAACCTGATTTCAAGCCTTTCAAACTGTTTTCGGATACAATTTGAAAGTATTTTAAATCCAACCACTTTCGAATCACGAATATAAAATTATACGTAATTTGATCAGTTCAGAGTCATTTGCTTGGAAAGCATATAAATTTTAATGAACTAAATAATTCCACAATGAACTCATACAAGCTTGACATCAACTCACTCTATTAATTGTTAACTGTAAGTCATCATCAAAGTAGACGTCACTGGATTGTCTGGTGTAGTGGTTATTTACTCGAGGTTCGAAAAGATAAGATGATGAAGTTAATTTTAACAACTGGCACATTGAGCCACTTAATAATCGCTTGTTTCTACTTTTTGTGTCAAGAAACAATTCTTTGTAACAATCTAATTGAAATCAGCACAGCTTGAAGCTCTCATACTTCCGTAAAAGTATAATTAGCGTTAGACAAAACTTATGGGGAAAAACAAAGCATTTGCTTGTAGGTGATGTTATCACGGAATGAACTTAGTGTAACACTTAAAACTAGGGAGAGCTGGTTAATTGTTTTGTGGTACCATGAAACTCTTCACCAGTGAACACATGTCTTTTGCAGGTGTCAAACTCCAAGCCATCAAGTATTGTGGTGACTACTTAATCATCAAACTTCGTGTTTATTTTAAATAAGGTAGTACGAAAACCAACAATTTGACATCCACTAAAAGTTGTTTTGATATCTTTTATTTAAGGTAATTTCTTCTGAATCAGAACCACCTTTTAATGTGATTTACGCAAGTTAGATGTATCTTTTCAACATATATTAGTCGTGTTAACATTAAACGGCGATTTGCCGATGGACAGATAACCCTGTCAACTTATCAAGCAGATTATACGTATTCGTTATAAACAATCGGTTTCTCAAAATTTCCACACTAAAATGCTGATTTTGTGTCTGATCTAGTAAGCTATCTATGGAATCAATGTGTACTGGATTTTGCTTTACTAAATAAGATTCATTTACACACCTTTCAAAAACAGACCATAAATGTATTTAGAGGACATATTCGTGTCCCTCTTTCTAATCAGTGACTGATTACCTCAAAATTGATTTTTGCATAATCTTAGATAATTGAAGCGATACTTTTCCGTGTACCATTTCTTATTTTCTACAAATTATGCTATATACAGCTCCAATCCTTGAACAGTAGACTAACTTATCAGCATGATCGAATTTTTCGAAATTCCCATCACATCTTAAATAGTTGAATGATGTCGTCTGCTAGGTGAAACGGATGTAAATTTTTCATGAGTTATAAAGGTTTTCCACTTTATTACTCGTTTACCTAAATATTACAAACATTTTCTCATCAAAATAGATTTAACTGACGATTCCCTTCAAATATCTAAGACTGATAGCTTCATCAATGTAAACAACATAAATCTCATTCAAAGATGTTTATTTGGTTTGTTATTTTGTATTTTCGTTGTTTTTCTAGAACGAATTGAAAAATCCTAATACTTGTGCATTTATGGTGGAACCGATTCAAGGTGAAGCTGGTGTTCGTACACCTTCAGATGGTTACTTAAAGGGTGTACGAAAATTGTGCACTAAATATAATGTGCTGTTTATAGCTGATGAAATACAAACTGGTTTAGGTCGAACAGGAAAGTAAGCTGTAACTATGATTTGTTTTACATCTAATTAACTAGTTTAAACTGATGTTGTCATAATGTTCTGTAGCTCATATTAAGCAGTTATTCTTAGAATAAATTTTTACTCTTGGTTTAAGTAATTTTATGAGTTGAATCAACTAACATCTAGCTGTACATATAAATTTTATGTAAATGTCTGAATATACCCCAATTAAGACGAGTAATAGGAAGATACACGTTCTGATATACATATGGCCTTTGAGATAAATAAATTAGAATCCAGACTGACGTTTTCTGTTTCCTGTAACGATATTTAAATACTAATATGAGTAAAATAGTTGCTTAGCTTTTTGAACACATTCTGTTATCCATTGATAAATCAAAGGTTTGAACCTGACTCCATTTACTTCGCTTCAGACAACTGGGTAGTATACATAGTCTTCATATTAACACTGTGGATAAAATTTCAGTACACTGATCTCTAATCAATGAATGAGTAGAATTATTTCAATTACTTATAGATGAACTGAGGAATTAAAAATCTGGTGCATTATAACATTTACTCAAAATGGTCTCTTTTTGTTACCATGTGGAAAAAATCAATAAACAATGGGCGAAAAAATAATGTAATAAATTGAACACTGAGGAAAAAGGGATGACAAAATAATTGAATATTGATAAACTAAACCTAACAAAACAGAACCATTTCTTCAGAATGAATAATTGTACATTGGGAAAAATGTTTCGAAACTATTTTTAACTATATTAGAGTAACCATAGTTGTTCTTATGACTAACAAAGCAAGCCTAATAAAAAAACGATACAATCATGAAATCTTTGACGCAGATTCATTTCACAAGAAAGCACCTGGGTTCACAAGAATATATTAAATTTTGTTGTCTATACGAATCAAATCGATAAACCCATTCGACATTTTACTACAGATAAATGACTCTGGATAAAAGTATTTTTGGGTGTATAATCGACTTAAAAATCATCTATGAAGAACTTCAAGGTTCCTTTGAAAAAAGTATAATTGCTATACTCATTTTTTAATTTATTAGCTGAAATAAAATAATTAACAATACTTTTATCACTTGATTATCAAAATCGAATTCAATGAATTTGAGTTAAATTTCAGACTTAAAAACTTGAAGATTATTAAATTTGTCGATAGAGGAAAAGTCATGACTTGTATAGCCAAATAAATCTCAGTTACATTTAGTATAATCCCAAGTAATATATACCAAACGCCAATGGCAGAAATTTATACATAACAATTTATGCAGATAACTTATCTTTATTTTTTAAACTTACTATTTCGTTATTATTCAGACGGTTGTGTGTAAATCATGAAGATGTTCGACCAGATATCGTTCTACTTGGGAAAGCTTTATCAGGAGGAGTACTTCCAGTAAGTTATTAAAGTTAACGTCATCATATGTTTACACTGTTTGTTGAGTTTTAGATATTTAACCTATCGTCAATTAGTACTTATTTGAATATCTAGGGATGGACAAACTAAAACGTAACATCAGTTCATGAATTCAATGGGAGTTGATCTTAGCTGTATAGATAGGTTCAGACTACCGGGTTAGGGTTTGTGTGATTATTGTAATCACTGATTGGAAATGTTCAATGACATGACATGCATTTATTCCTTGTTTTCCCTTTTCTCCTGAGTCTTAAATTTATGCTTCATTTGAATTCTATAAATTCAGTTTTGATTCTCGAATCATATTGTATATTGTCAAATCTTTTCTGCTCTACTACTACTGTTGATACTCCTACTACTACGATATTTGCCTTGATAAATTTATCTCGCTGTGCTGACACGGTGTAGCTATTTAAACCGATATAGATATGTTCTAGGTATTACTTTATGTTTGACTAAATGACCATGCTTAATAAAGATTGAAGAGACTGTGATAAAAGATAAATCGGGGCGACTTCATAAAATATTAACATAATAAGCTGTTGACCGGTATGATAAACGTTCCTCTGCTACCGATTTTATTCCATACCACTAGACGGCTTCGGTAGTTGTATCGCATAGCTTATCCTCATTGCTGATTCAATCAGTGTAAATCATTTATCCATTTCCTAACCACGATTTTAGTTTGTTTAAAACTGTATACAAAAGAGTTAGATCTTAACTAGATGATAATTCCTTACGATTAAACAACAGTTATATAAGTATATAAATATTTAGAGAGGAGACTAGATTATTAAAATTGTTATGAATGAGTGGATAGTTTTGCTTCGACCAATATGTGCATAACACTTTTATAGAATCCTAGTTTGTTGCGAAAATCAAACCCAGAACTTTTCGAACGCTATTCCGCGTAAATTAATGAGTTTTCAGTAAAAGATCAAGTCCATGGAGTTTTCGAAAATGTTTATTATGTTGGGATGGCTTTAGAACAGGCAGCTTGTTCACTCATTTTTTTATGGACGTAAACAGGCTAAAATCTTTAGTTTCTTTTAGGATTATCCAAACAATAAGTTTATATTAAAACAATTTCCATTTTGTATTTAGAGTGATTTAATCACAAAATTAAGTCATTTTAGTACAAAACACACACCCTGTCAAAATACTAATTAGTTTCTAGGATTTTTCTTAGACAGAAAATTAAATGTAACGGTCGGGAGTAAACAAAAAGATTTAAATGATTTCTGTTCATTGATAGTAAACTGGTAGATTATAAAGTATTTGTTTTGTACAATTCTAACTTGTGTTCTGAACCGCTGAGTGTTCTAATATCCTTTCTTGTTTTATATAAAACTTGAACTAAAAATAAATCTGTTGACATTAAAGTTAATTGTTATATCTTAGACATTGGTTGGCAGTTAAACCTAAAAATCACTTTTCATCTTCTGTGCAACTCGTTATTTGATTTTACTGACAAACTAATGAACCTAGTTCTAAGTATTAACGGGCTCATACAAACTACAATATGGATTTTGCTTCTTAATAGCATACAGAAGAAGAAATGCATGTATTTTTAACATTTTAACTATCGGGGACACACGTTACACTATTATTTCAGTTAACCTAATAAATTCAAACAAGTGAGTAGAGATTTGTAGAGATTATTGAATGTTATTGATATTATGAACCAACTTTAGTTAAGTATCCATTGAAAATCAGGAAGTACTAGATAACTGTTTTGCCCAAACATGAGTCTTCTCGGTATTGCACATCTATAACCCCACAAAGGGTTAGCTCAAAGCCTTCTATCTAACCCTATAGACCACCAAATCAGTGTACTCATATGATCACAAATATGTCAGAAAACTGTTTAAAAGTTTCATAATATCTAAGTCTATCAACGAGTAACTTGTCAATATTCTTACTTTTACTATGAAAATATATCCTTCTAACCATAATGACTATTTTGACTTTACAACAACTAATGTTAATCATATGTTTCATATTGAAAATGACCTTTTTCGTCATTAAACTCTTAACTTATTAAAGCACACTTAAATCAATTTATATATAAATAATATCCATGATGTATTATATGAATTTAAAATGGATTAATTTTTTCGAATATTTTTTTCATTTCATTTATTTAATCTGTTTGTTTACATATTAATTATCAGAAGGGGTTTGTGGAGATTTTAGAAATTTCACAGATTGAAATCATGAGTCAATTGAAGCTAGACCACTATGGAAAACCTGGAAGCACTGGACAGCCGTTTAGTCCTAGTATGGGACTCCTCAGCAGTGCACATCCGAGATCCCGCACCCCGCGAGACTCGAACCCAGGATCTATTAGTCTCTCGCCAGGCGCTTAACCAACTAGACCACTGAGCCGGCATCCAACGGTGGTAATGTCTAACTTCAACCAATCCACAAAGTTGCGCCACCATATACCATTGTCTTCAGTGAGCTGATATCTCACAACAGACCTTGTTGAACTCCACTGGTGACGGCTTGTCACTAAAACTTCAGGAGTATTTCTTGAAGTCAGTCACTAGTGAGCAGATGATTATTATCAGAAAGAGTTTGTGGAGATTTTAGAAATTTCGCAGATGGAATTTTAGTGAGAAGCCGTCACCAGTGGAGTTCAACCAGGTCTGTTGTGAGATATCAGCTCACTGAAGACGATGGTATATGGTGGCGCAACTTCGTGGATTGGTTCCTTTTTTATTGTAGTTATTGCGGAAATTAGTTTCACTGATGTGCATGAAAATGTGTAACTAGAACACTTAAACCAAATTAAGAGATTATATTCGCTAACTTATACAAATATATCTGGAATACACGAATTTTATTGTAACATGAAAACATCCAGATGTAATATTAAGAGCCTGAATAATGTGTCAAAATATATTACTATTGATAAAGTTGGCCTCAATAGTTTTTTTAGCAATCATATTATGATAATGCATTCTAAGAACCCAGTTTGTTTCACTTGTATTTCCATTTATTTATTTATCTATCTACCTATCCATTTTAATTCAGGTATCCGCTGTTTTAGCTGATGATTCAGTTATGTTGACTATTCAACCTGGTGAACATGGATCAACTTATGGTGGTAATCCATTAGCTTGTAAAGTTGCTATGGCTGCTTTAAGAGTAAGTCTTTCCTTACTACTACCATTACTGTTCGTAAGGGTCTGTTATTTTAAAACTATCAATAATGAGGAATAAATTCGATCAGACTACTTCATTATGTTGAGCTCTTTGAAAAAATATTTTGGTGTAGCCTGTAGTCACGGGTCGATAGTGGCATACTCAACTGACGAGCCCCAAAATGAACCACACATACCTGTCAGACTATACTCCCATTCATCACAGAAATGTATTAGCATATTGTTAATAACTTCTAGAATCAGTATTTACCGAGTCACTACTAACTTTGCACATTTTGCTCACCAACCTAAGATAGCTGAAACAATTTAGAAGTTTAGTAAACTCACCCGAACAAATCTTTCAAATCAGTGGTTTCATCAGAATGTTTGCCTGACATTTAGTCTTCATTGTTCAAGGTTTTTATGCAATAAATTTTGATTCATTTAGCAAAATTGTGATGTTATGTAAACTTTTTCAACTCATTCAATTGATCACCTTCCTTAAAAAATATTTCTATGTTAACCTACTGACCAAGAGAATTTCTAGCTTAATTACTACGTTATTCTTAGAATGATGAGTTTGTTTCATTATAAAATTGGTGACATGTTATATGTTGTCAATTGACTCACTTTATTTAAGACTATTAGTAACTGCAATATTCGAAGATTGCTTTAGTTACAAACTGTCATCAAATAGTAAGAATTAAAAATCAATAGACCAAAGTTTCTTCTTAATTTAGTCCTCCTTGATAACTTTAAATCTTGATGCTACATATAGTCGAGTAGGAAATCATTAGATTTCATGAAGAAAACAATATTACTCGAGCCCTGATTAGGAATCCATTGAGCATTATTCGGTGAGATAGTTTAGGCTATTAAGTAAAAATCACTCATTTTCAACGTCTTACTACTCTGTTGCTTCCTGATTGGTTGGTTGCGTTCTCCTGTTAGAATTTGATTAAATCTATCTAGATGCAAAACACTAGTGAATACACATTTACTATTCATTTAAATGGGTTTTTTTTGGAGAAATTTCATTAAAATATTCATCACGAAATGAAAGTTTTATTCTAAGAAAATCTAAAAAGAGTTATCTTTTCATTTACTTTTTACTCCTCGGTAATGTATTATTTTATCTTTTTCAAAAATAAGGTATTGGAAGAGGAAGGTTTAGCAGAACATGCACAGAAATTAGGTGAAATCTTTCGTCAGGAACTGAGTAAACTTCCAAAATCTGTCGTTGAATTATATCGTGGTAAAGGTCTTTTAAACGCGATTGTAATTCGTCAAGGTAAATAGTACTTAGAAATATTTATGTTTAGATCACTTGAATTGTTAAGATTAATGGAACTGGAGTGTAGATAAATAAAATTATTTGTTGTTTATAAATTCATAATATTTTGTCAGGAATTATAATTATATGTATGTAGGTATGGAAGTGAAGGAAGTAACATGTTATTGATAACAAAAATAAGTGAACCGTTATTAAACAATGCGAATAAATGTGAAAAATATCATTTGGAATCTAAACCAAGACTAATAATCACAATAACAATAAATACATATGCTAAAAATACACGTATATAAAAATGACCGGGACACAGAATGGCGAATATTGTAATCCAGTGGTGGACGTAGGGCATGCAAGGGAAGAGGAACGCAGAATATACATTTCGCTTGTATAAGTTTAGATGGAACATTCACCTTTGCGATACTAAGTAATTGTTAATGTAGGTAGCTTGAAAGTATTACTGATTTCTTTTATAGAACTGTAACTGGTGACATTTTGTTGACATTATGCTTTGTGTTCTCTAAATGCTATAGTATTGAACTTCAATCACAATGGACACTGCTTGAGGAAGTGACGATGGCGATGTCGCGTCGTTCAACCTTTAAATTTGTTTCTAAAAGAAGAGTTAAATTTATAGATATGCAGAAATAACTGGACCCAGAAGTGAATCTGTCGCTCATACAGGTTGAACATAATAAATAGTAAAAATGAAATTTGTGTCATTCAAAAGTAATTTCTCCGCCATCGGACTAGTAAATAAAATAAAGCTGAAAAAACTCCCTTTGGCTTCATAACCTTGAATTAATGTTTAATGTAACCTAGAAGCGAACAAAATTATCACTCTATCTCTACCCTAGTATGTAATGTTGTTAAATTTTCGTTTTGAAGTGAGCGAATTTGTTCTACACGGATACTCTTTTTCAATGTTCTAGCATGGTTCCTCTCTGTACATGAGGGTGATATATATAAGTTAATTTTGCGAAATTCGTTTCTCCTGATTACGTTTTTTCGAACAATATATACACAGTAGCAGAAACATTAAACAAAGCGGATTATTAGGATATTCTTCCTTACATGTGAGAAGTCAAAAATATTAATAATGAAGATCATTTGTGTAAATGTATCCACTTTAAAAAACGTTTTTATGATACCTCTGAAAACAGTGATATATTAGGGGTATGCTTTCTCCTGGTTTATCATACTTTAAATGGGATTGTAAGCATATTTTTTGCTCAGTTTCTGTTTAATTTAATTAGTCTTCCTTAATCTATCCAGTAAATCTCTTGACCAATATTTATCTCTTCGATTAGCTGAAATTATGTCAGTGTCTGCGTTTAGTGTTTTAGCAATCGAACCAAGGTGTAAATGATCACACAAAGTATAACGCTCTGTCGCTTTAAATATTGGGTGAAGAAGCCTTCAGTCAGAGATTATTTCCACAGTATCTTTATGAGACATTGAAACTGCTATGTTCTTCGTAACTGTTTAAGCAGGATATTAGTACCATAGCAATCCCTGATGGGTTTATAGATGAATCCTTGATACTGGTTGTCAGAGCAATACTCTTTACTCAGGATATACTTTCCGGAATCAGCAGAAGTGTCTATGTTAACACATTACAGTATTCTTTAAGCCGAATAATCCAATAATTTATTTCATATTTAATTCTACATTGTACTTTTCTTTTGTGTCCAGGATTTAAGGCGTGGGATGTTTGTTTAAAATTACGCGATCATGGTTTATTGGCTAAGCCAACACATGACACAATCATTCGATTAGCACCGCCTTTAGTTATTAAAGAAGATGAACTACACAAAGCGGCAGAAATTATACACAAAGTGATTGGTTCATTGAGTAGATCGTGAAGAAACACAGGAAAAACAAACAGCTATGCTATTTCGGTAAGTTCTTTTGAATTTATTACTATTTTTGGTTGTCTTATCACTGCTATCAATGTTATTCAGTCAGCTGGATTCAATTTAGAAAATAACGGAAAAGTATGTCAGCCCTAGTTGTTATTTATCACATACGCACAACGTGATAAAATTAAAAAGACGACTAATGAAGAAGCCGAAATAATGTAGTAACAGTTATGATGAAAAAGTTTATTTATTGAGAGTATGGTTCAGAAAGACAGGAGGAAAAGATATGTATGAAGGATTATTGTAACAAGAGATCTAAAGACTGATAAAGAGTGAATCCATTTATGCCACTGTGACTTGTTTCGATCCCTATCATCCGACATCTTCGTGCACTGTTTGAGGTTACTGTATGAATCTCAACCCAGTCGTTTGCCTCCACCAGCATGCCCCAGACCAACAATAAGTGATCTTATGAACTAATTTTACTTCTTGATTTGGCCATCCCTACATTTCTTACAATATATTCTTACACCAGATAACATCAATCGTCGGAACAGATAATAGTTAGACTTATATAACATATTACCAGCAAGTGTGATAGACCGGAAATCATTTCGATTGACCTTAGTTAATCCAAATAAAAGTAGCATGAACATTCTGGATAATTTTTTTAGTTCAAACTGTTCATCATTATTTTAGACATTAATTTAGTCAGCTACACCGTTCAAATATTTAAAATTTAAAGAATTGGAAACAGCTGAACGTAATGTTCATAAGTTCTTTTTAAATTACCTTGAGGATACGTATATTAAAGTTAATCGTAGAGTTTAAACATGGGATTGTTCTTCTGAGCAACAAGAAATCATAACTGAAGAACTTAAATAATACTAAACGCTTTTAAAAGAATCCCCAAAAGTTACAGTGAAAAACTGTGACCTAATAAGTCACCTGCTTCTAGACAATAATAGAAACTCATTACTGGCATTTATTGATGATTGTCCTATGTTGTAAAATTAATAAAGTAGAAGTTGGTAACCAATGAAATCCAACTCATTATTTGATTGATACGTGCTCTCTATAAAATGGGCTGGTTTTGGGTCGACTGTTTATTGGATCGTGAATGTAAACCAATGAGAAGGTGGAAAATATTATCAACCAGTAATCCGTAGTTGTACCGTTTTTAGTGACCTAACGACTGATGTTATTTCTCATCAAAATCATTCTCGATTTCTTCATAAAATCACTTATATAACATACCAAATGGTATCATATATTTACCCAGTAACAAAAGGAATAATCTACAAATAAAATTTGTATAAAACAATTGATTTAATTCCGTTTAAGTATAACTAAATTATAATGATTGATAAGTATTATACACTAAACTTTCACCTCAAATGCTAAAGCGTTATCCACTGACTCACTAAATTCAGTTGGTCTTTAAGTCGTGCAAAAGGTCTAAAATTCATTTTTATGGGCTGATATTACTTATGTTGTTGATGTTAAGGCCTACAATTGTTAATAGAGACTGATTAGTTTCAGACGTGAAGATCAGCGAAAATGTACAAATCCGTATAACAGAGATGGTCTTATTTCTCAAAGGCATAATAATAAAATGAGCATAAAAATAAAAAGACATTGAAAATGAACAAAGTCACAAAAGTTGAGAGAAATTAACTAAACAAAAAGTCATAAGATCTTGAAACATAGAGGGAATCTTGGTGTGTCATAATAACTAGTATTAAAGAACACCAGATTCCTATTTTCATAACCCTGAAAATTTGAACCATGTAACCTAAACGTTGCTACTCAATTCATGTCAACGGCTATTTATTAGCTTGATCACTGTTAATTTTTCTCTGGAATTATTGAACTGTAGTGCTTTGTAATAATCGTCATTTTAGTGCATCTGATATAAATACCCAAAACACTATACTTTCTATGTTGTAAATCAAAATACCAGTAACTTTCTTAACAACCTAGATTAAAACTCTACATATTACATCAAGAATTACTCATTCATTAGTTTGGGATCATATGAATAGGGATTGAAAAGGACTTTATTTTAAAATATCTACATTGTTCTTGTGGTTTTCATATCTAATGATCATGTCTAAAAACTATAAAGTACAAAAAAGCGAACTTTTGATTTACATTTCTCCGTTCGATGAAAAGTTAGATATTTCAACATTATTGTATATGACTTTGAGGAATAAAAACACTGACTGATCATACAATACATATTTCTTGCCGAGCCCACTACTCACTTACTTACACCAGTTACTCCCAATGGAGCATAGGCCGCAGACCAGCATTCTCCAACCCACTCTGTCCTGGGCCTTCTTTTCTAGTTCCATCCAATTCTTGGTCATTTTTCTCATGTCTATCTCCATTTCTCGGCGTAATGTGTTCTTTGGTCTTCCTATTCTCCACCTTTGCCCTTGAGGATTCCATGTGAGAGCTTGTCTTGTGCTGCAGTTGGGTGCTTTCCTCAATGTGTGTTCTATCCACCTCCAGCGCTTCTTCTTGATTATTCCTGCAGCATGTTGGAAGACTCTCCCAGCCTCCCACATTGTACGAACATTCCATGTACCTAAATAAATGGTTGCTCTGGTTGTCAGAAGGGGCATCGGCCTCGTAACTTCCGAAGGCACTCGGCTTTCATCATGAGGCCTCATAACTCTTCTGAATGAGGAATTTCTAACTCCCAGGGCAGAGTTCAAATGGTTTGAGTTATTTTTCTGGTTAGCCTTTTATCCGGGCTTAAGACTGGCAGTAGCCTCAGCTGGGCTCTATGCGAAGTTCTAGCCCACTAGGTTTAAACGAATAAACTAATTGTTATGGATGCTGAGGAATAATGCGCCAATCATTATCATGTTAAGTCTAATGATGTCTTTGGACGTTAAATGAACATTTCCTATTTATTTTACTCATTAAATATTGTACAGATGTTGTTTTCTATTTTTATGGTACGATGTGGTCTGTTTGGTTGGTATATAAACAGAGTATGTTTGAAATATAACGATTCATAACTCAGAGGCTGTGACTTACGTTCTAGACTCAACTGGCTGGGCTAGACAGGGAAGCGGGAACAATCGGGACTCTAGGTTGTTCACTACGTGTTTTACGTGTCACTGTAATCGATCGATATATAAACGCTGCGCATCTAACCTGCAGTCCACACGTTACAACACTAATCATATGGTTTTATATTGTCTGGCTAAAAAATATGTATATCTCATATGTTTAATATAGCCCAATCGTCATAAACATAAAAATATCTAGGTTATTACATGTCGTGTTATGTATTAGATTGTTTATACTAGATTGCGTAAACAAATATTTCATCTAAGCTCTTATTTGAAATTTTTGTTTATTAGAACTTTCAGTTATGATTCGGATACAACATATAATTCATAGTCATAACAAATTAAAGCCTTAATGCTTAATTTTGATCTTTTTAGCGTTTATTATTATACGACAATTAACAGTAAGTTATGTTTAAGACTTACTTACTTACGCCTGTTACTCCCAATGGAGCATAGGCCGCAGACCAGCATTCTCCAACCCACTCTGTCCTGGGCCTTCTTTTCTAGTTCCATCCAATTCTTGTTCATTTTTCTCATGTCTATCTCCATTTCTCGGCGTAATGTGTTCTTTGGTCTTCCTATTCTCCACCTTTGCCCTTGAGGATTCCATGTGAGAGCTTGTCTTGTGCTGCAGTTGGGTGCTTTCCTCAATGTGTGTTCTATCCACTTCCAGCGCTTCTTCCTGATTTCTTCCTCCTCTGGGATCTTGTTTGTTCTCTCCCACAGTACGTTGTTGCTAATAGTGTCCGGCCAATGGATCTGAAGTATTTTGCGTAGACAATTGTTAATAAACACCTGTATTTTCTGGATGATGGCTTTCGTAGTTCTCCAGGTTTCTGCCCCATATAGTAAAACTGTCTTGACATTTGTATTGAAAATCCTGACCTTGGTGTTGTTTGACAGTTGCTTTGAGTTCCAGATGTTCCTCAGTTGTAAATACGCTGCTCTTGCTTCACCGATCCGCGCCTTCACATCTGCATCAGATCCACCCTGTTCGTCAATGATGCTGCCCAAATACGTAAAGGTTTTTAAGACGCTATAGAATAAATCCTAATATTCATGTATGTCGTTCAATAAATGCATTCACAAGGAATTTCACTTTACCATAAGGTCGAATTCTTCACTTTTAATTTGTTAAATTCATCTCTAATTATCTAATTGCTTTTATCTCTTTTATTTACTACATGCTTATGTTGAACAGTTCGACATGTGACCTACGTAACAAAATATAATTCTTCAAATCTAATAAATATTGGGAAATTATTGCTATCTACTTAACTGACTAATTTCTAAACTATATTCATTAAAAATCGGTTCCACATAAAATACTATGCACTATTACATAGCTAGCCTTGTTTAATATACATCAAGTTTTAATATTTACCAAGTATTTAAAACTTATATTTACTTACTTACTTACGCCTGTTACTCCCAATGGAGCATAGGCCGCAGACCAGCATTCTCCAACCCACTCTGTCCTGGGCCTTCTTTTCTAGTTCCATCCAATTCTTGGTCATTTTTCTCATGTCTATCTCCATTTCTCGGCGTAATGTGTTCTTTGGTCTTCCTATTCTCCACCTTTGCCCTTGAGGATTTCATGTGAGAGCTTGTCTTGTGCTGCAGTTGGGTGCTTTCCTCAATGTGTGTTCTATCCACTTCCAGCGCTTCTTCTTGATTTCTTCCTCCTCTGGAATCTTGTTTGTTCTCTCCCACAGTCTGTTGTTTCTGATAGTGTCTGGCCAACGGATCCGAAGTGTTTTGTGTAGACAACTGTCAATAAACACTTGTATCTTCTAGATGATGCCTTTCGTAGTTCTCCAAGTTTCCACCCCATATAGTAGAACTGTCTTGACGTTATTATTGAAAATTGTGACTCTGGTGTTGGTTGATAGTTGCTTTGAGTTCCAGATGTTCTTCAAATGTAAATACGCTGCTTTTGCTTTGCCGATCCGCGCCTTTACATCTGCATCAGTTTCACCCTGTTCATCAATGATGCTGCCAAAGGCATGTAAAGGTTTTTACATCTTCAAAAGCTTCTCCTTCCAGTTTGAATCGATTGGCGTATGCTGTGTTGTATCGGAGAATCTTGCTTTTCCCTTGTGTATGTTGAGACCTACTGCTGCTGACGCTGGTGCTACACTGTTCGCCTTCTGCATTTGTTGTTGCGTGTGCGATAGAAGTGCCAGATCATCTGCGAAGTCTCTATGGTCCAATTGCATTCCAGCTGTCCATTGTATTCCATCCTTCCCCTCAGATGTTGACGTCTTCATGACCCAGTCGATCAACAGGAGAAAGGGTGAGAGTAAGCAAACTTGCCTGACACCGGCCTTTACTTTGAACGAGTTTGTCAATTGTCCTCCATGCACGATTTCACAGTTTAATGCACCATAGAAATTTCGTATGATATTGACTATCCCCTCAGGTACTCCGTAGTGTCGAAGAAACCTCCATAGTATTGTCCTGTCCATGCTATCAAATGCCTTTTCGTAGTCAATGAAGTTGATGTAGAGTGATGAATTCCATTCAATTGATTGTTCCACAATGATCCGTAGAGTTGCGATTTGGTCTGTACACGATCTATCCTTACGGAATCCTGTCTGTTGGTCACGAAGTTGGGCGTCTACGCAGTCCTTCATCCTGTTTAACAATACCCTGTTGAAGACTTTTCCCGGTATTGAGAGAAGGGTGATGCCTCTGTAGTTATCACAGTTGCTGAGATCGCCTTTCTTCGGTATTTTGATTAGAAGTCCTTCGTTCCAGTCTTTTGGTACTTGTTCCTCATCCCAAATCTTATTGAAAAGAATGTGGAGTATCCTTGCAGCTGTCGCTACGTCTGCCTTTAGTGCCTCTGCTGGGATGTTGTCCGGTCCTGCTGCTTTGCCACTCTTGATTTGTCTGATGGCCATGCTGATTTCTTCAATTGTTGGTGGGCCAACATTGATTGGGAGGTCCGTGGGTGCTGCTTCGATGTTGGGTGGGTTCAGTGGCGCTGGTCGATTCAAGAGTTCTTTGAAGTGTTCTACCCACCTGTTTTGTTGCTCTTCAATGTTGGTGATTACCTTGCCTTCCTTGCTTTTCACTGGTCGTTCTGGTTTGCGGCGATTTCCAGAGAGTTTCTTTGTCGTGTCATACAATTGTCTCATGTTTCCTTCTCTTGCAGCCTTTTCCGCCATCGTTGCTAAATCTTCCACATATTTACGTTTATCAGTCCTGATGCTCCTCTTCACTTGCTTGTTTACTTCTGTGTATTCAGTTTGTGCTTTGGCTTTCTCTGCTCTTGTTCGGCTGGTATTCATTGCTGCTTTCTTGTTCCTTTTTTCTTGAATCATATCCAGTTTATAAACAGTGATCCATTCCTTGTGATGGTGCTTCTTGTGGCCCAGAACCTCATGACATGTTGAAGTGATTGCCTCTTTGATCCCCTTCCAGTTGCTCTCCACAGTAGTTCCTTCTCCATTGAGTAGATCATGAAAGGCCTGGAACTTGCTGCTGAGGTCTATCTTGAATTTGTTGAGTTTGTTAGTATCCTGGAGAAAGGCCGTATTGAACTTTTGTGATACTGTCTGCTGCGTTGTCCAGTGCTTCTTGAGTTTCAATTTCATCTTGGCGACCAGTAGGTGATGATCTGATGCTATATCACCTCCTCTCTTGGTTCTCACGTCCTCTATAGTCCTCCTGAATGTTTTGTTGATGCAAATATGGTGGATTTGGTTTTGTGTAGAGAGATCCGGTGAAGTCCATGTGGTTTTGTGTATGCGTTTATGTGGGAATATGGTGCCGCCTATGACCAGCTTATTGAAGGCACATAGATTTGCAAATCTCTCACCATTTTCGTTTCTTTCTCCCAGTCTGTGTCATCCCATGATGTCTTCATATCCAGTGTTGTCCGTTCCAACCTTGGCGTTGAAATCTCCCATCAGAATGGTCAGGTCCTTTGTTGGGCACTTCTTGATGATTGACTGCAGCCTATTGTAGAATTGATCTTTAGCGTCTTCATTGTAATCGTTGGTAGGCGCATAGCATTGGATGATGTTCATTGAAATGCCCTCTTTCTTTGTTTTGAACGAGGCTTTGATGATCCTTGGTCCATGAGATTCCCATCCTATATGCGTATTTTGTGCTTGTTTGGACAACATCAATGCAACTCCTTGTGTATGTGGTGCATTTTCTTCTTCATGGCCGGAGTATAACAGGAGCTCTCCTGTAGTTAGTCGTTGTTGTCCAACTTGTGTCCAATGTGTTTCACTGATCCCAAGTACCTCTAGGTTGTATCTTTTCATTTCTGCAGCAATTTGGAAGGCTCTTCCGGTGTCCCACATTGTACGAACATTCCATGTACCTAAATAAATGGTTGCTCTGGTTGTCAGAAGGGGCATCGGCCTCGTAACTTCCGAAGGAATTCGGCTTTCATCATGAGGCCTCATAACTCTTCTGAATGAGGAATTTCTAACTCCCAGGGCAGAGTTCAAATGGTTTGTGTTATTTTTCTGGTTAGCGTTTTTTAGTGAGTTATTTTTCTACGGGATGGGGTCGCGAACCACATGCTCAACCCTCCTCCTTTATCCGGGCTTGGGCTCGGAAGTAGCCTTCGGAGGGACTACAGGCGGAGTTAAAACTTATATTTAGAGAATAGGATATTCAAATGTAATTCATTCACCCTGAATATAGTGTATTGTTTTAATTCTATTTCGTTAATTAACTTGATTAATATTACTAATATTTCCTTTTCTTTTCATCTAACCATTTGTAGGACATATTTCATTGTAATGCTACGAAATTTTATTTGAGCGAATTCGTTTTAAATCCATTGGCAGGTTTATTGTTGTAATTCAAATTAAAAGTGAAATTAAAGAACCCTTCTGCTTATTTCCATAAATTATTAAATATCTACCATTGTGATTACATTTTTATACTTTGATGCATAAAATTATCAGTTGCTTTATCGCATATATGTATTCTATTTATAGTTCTATCTGGCTTGTTTGTTTTTGAACTACTACTCAAATAATGTTGCGTTAGTAATATGTCTATATGTAATGTGATTATTTTCAGATAACTCATTCCATTTTTATTATTGTTCAGAATACCAACATGTTGTAATACGTGATTTTGAGTTATATAATGTATTTTGTAACTCTTTTTTTTTTACTTAAAAATGTCTTGGTGCATATGCTTAGAAGTTAATTGTATCCAGGCAACCGAAAATAATATCGCAAATAAACTGTTGTTTACATATGTTTTAGTGGAAAAATATTTTCTATATGGATTATTGATTAACCCGAAAATAGAATTAGTTCATGTTTGAAAGCTCAAATATAAGAAAACCTTTAACCAAAATAAATAATAAATGAAGTTTGTTTATGTACTGATAGTTAATTAAAATATACTCTGTTCGTAATCGTTATCCAATTATTCTGACCAACATTCCTGTGAGATTACTAATTCAGATCATTAATTCATATAGTTCGGCAAATGAATTAATTTTAAAACTTTGATTCAGTTCCTATTGCATCGGTGAAAGAGAATGGTGACAGGTTAAAAATTGGAGATCGATAGATATATATGAATTGTAATACATATTTTTTGTAGCTCTCTGTATCTATCATAAATTAATATATGTTGGTCCCTTTGATAAATTTCGATAATGATATTAGAAGACGAAGATTATCAGAACTATGTGATATATTAGTGCAATACATTTCGAACAATCTGGTCACATAGTTCTGATAATCTTCGTCTTCTACTATCATTATCGTAATATATGTTGACCAAGACCTGTATCATATACTTGATCTGAGATGGCCTGTTGTGTGAGAAACTAGTCACTTCTCTAGATATCTGGTATTAGAACGCGACAGTCGTGCACATCAGAGAACCGTTACCATCTCCTGTTTCAAGAAAACAAGTATCCAGTCAGCATTCAGACATTCATCACCCAAAACTGGTGATGAATTTCACTAAAACCAAATATTGTTTCGAAACTTCTATGTGAGTATCCTGAACTATACAAAACTAAAAGTATTTGTTAATCAAAGACAAATTCGGTGAGTGCTTATCAACTCCAGGATGCAACTACATTTAACTAACGTCCGTTCTCGATTCCACTAATACCCATATCTCATCTATTATGTGTAAACTTGTATGCCTTATGCGGATCGTCATGAAATATTATGACACATGTGTCAACCAAGACTGATCAAAATTCAGTTGAATTAATAACTGAATATTTCAAATCACTCCTAATTAAATTATATTGACAGAAACTTGTTTTATTGTTTTTATGTATTTATCCAGTGTTAATTTTAGAAATCAGTCATTTTTTGTAACTTTTATAAACATCTCATTTTCAGCATTCCATATCGTCTATCTGTGTCGAATCTTCCGTCTTTCAGAAACCGATATAGATACCTAAGACCGTCAAAATATGCAACGTTATCATACAGATTAAGGGTGACATCTAGACCATAGATACTATCTTGATGTGGTGTTTATGCTTACAAATAATAATGACCCAAAAGTGCCATAATGACTGGAACACTTGTCTAGATGCAGAAAACGCATTTCCGAACAGTGATGAATATATGGAGGTTTGAAGTCAGTAAGGTGTTTGCACCAGATTACCAACATCAGTAATTATGCTCATTTCCCGCAAGGGGAAGTGAAGGTTAAACGGGGTTGGCCCTAAAATCAACATACTTCAGCTTACCCCACAGGATTCAGTCTCTGGAGGTAAGGGCTTCAAAGTATAGACTAGTCTACTTAGAAGCACACGAAAAAGAGTAATTATACGACCCCTAATTGTTTTCCCTTAAGCCCTGTAGTCGTTAACTCTAACTCACTTTCGTTTACTGGTCCCTCCAAAAGTATCCTTCCGTGATGAGACAGGTTGATAAGTAAAGATCACTGTCAGACCTCTGATCGTACTCGACATCATTAAGAAAACAATTTGACATCCTAGTGCACTAATTTCAATCGTCTCTTAGTACTTCCTTCTGTTAAATGACTTTGGTTATTAGGTTAGATATTTAAAACTACCATAATTCGATGCCTATTTGAATACGAAGTCAATAACATAAGATTAAAATTCAAGGACTATTTTATTTCAAAAACGAAACAAAGTTAATGGCTTTTTTCCAATACTAAGTAAAATCTTTTATTAAATACGAAAGATATCTTAGTTACATTTTAACTACTCTCTAGTAAACTGTGTAACGCCCAGCCGTGAATAGGTGTCTAATTGGGAACATGAGTATTAATGGATTTGGAAGAAATGCTTATGTAGGTTGTGGTAATACACTTGATCAGAACAAAAGGAAGGAAAGCTAGAGCAGAAGGCAAAGTTGCCGTATTTATTTAGTGATCTACAGAGTACCCCATAAAATTGTTAGGCAGTAAATTACCCTAAGTAAATATCTAGATCCCATCAAACGTATTCAGTCTGTATGTAATTTCATGAGTTCGGCTTTACGATTACTTCTTACTGATATTAAAACCAAACAGACCTGATGAGGTAACCATCTGATCCTTCTGTATGTCACATTGAAACCTGTATTTGAATAGATAGTGTAGACCAATTCAATCTAGTTGAATGTCCATTTCTTATCATTACTTATTATATCAAGCTCTAGGGTTTATTCCATGAACGTTTAATTTCCACAAGTTCAGTTGGCTACAATACGATCCTTTTAATTTAACCATTCAGCATAGGATTCCTGATTAAATTATTTATTCTGATTCTTTTTCTATCATTCAACTTAAAAATCTCTTATTATTTCACATTTTTATGATTGAAATTTATTTTTATATGAGAAACAACATAAGCAAATCTGAATTTCTATGGGATTACATCAGTTAATGTCTAACAATTCCAACTACTTTCATCATTATAAGTAGTAAAATGCTTTTCTTGAAAATATCTCAAGCATTTCGAAGTGAAGCTAAATTCCTAAAAATGAACTGCTGAATCTTGAATAAAATGAAACAGCTGTCACTTTTATACAAATGATAAACGCTAGTGTACTGATTTATGTTATAATTATTTGCATGAAAATGTCATTTAGTTTAAACAAAATTTTTACGACAGTGCACTGATCAATTTATTTATATTTATGAATATTCATATTAAAAATGTACTGACAAACAATTTCAAATGTTCAATATGATCATTTACACATCAGTTCTAAAATAAATCTAAACATCATAATTTATCAATTATTTTAATTATGTATGTATTAATGATAACTAAGGTTTATTAAACGTGTGTTCATTCATTACTAAATGGGTGTAGTGAATCGATTCAAAATGATTCACAAACAATCCAACTTTATCAAGAATGCAAGTTTGTGGAGATTGTAGGAGTTTCATTAGTTGAATCCATGAGTTAACTTAAGCTAGATCACCATTAAAAACCTGGTGACAAGGGACGGCCATTTCGTCCTAATATGGAACTTCTCAAAAGTGTGCATCCACGATGTTACACGTGGAAACTTAACCCAGAACCTTGAGTCTTGAGCGCGAACGATTAGACCACTGGGCCGGCATCCAACAGTGTCAGTCTCTAACTTCAATCGATTGGATGCTCATCTCTGAGGAGTCCCATACCAAGATGAAGTGGACATCCAGTGTTTCCAGGTTTTCACTGGTGGTTTAGTTTAGATTGACTCGTGAATTCATCTATTAAAATCCAACTATACTTTATTAAGGTTTAAGGAAGCCATAGAAATTATAAAGCTTAAACTGTACCTTTGTACTCAAAAAGATTTTCAGATAATCTTCAGCTACCTTGATAACGGGTACAAACTAAATATATTGGTCATCAATTAGTTTTAATCACAAATTAATGGGTTTAATTTACATATCTCTTTTTCTAAAATTGTTAGATTTTCTGTTATATTACTCAATAGAACTACCCTTATTATCTTAGACATCAGCTAAGAAATCACTAAATCATAAGAATATTGATTCTCAACGAAAATCATCTTTCAAAGTAATTTACATTTGGTTAATGACAAAAACTAGTAGAATCGGTAATTTACGAGTCCCTTAGATAATTCTATCTTATTTAGACTACAAAGATAATTTCTTGTCAAGGACTAATATCAACAATGAATGATAGCTAAAAACAACCCGCTATTGGGGTCTAACAATGCTGTAACAATAAATTACATTTTGATTTAATTTAAATTAAATGTTCACACCATATAAAGTTCAGGGATAATTCTTAGTTTCATTAGTATGTTAAGTAATGCTTTGTATACATGTTTACTTTTGCCAAGATGTTCTAAACAAGAAAACTTAATCAACGATAAGAAGATTAAACGTATTCAATCATTTATACATAAAATGAATAAGTGATTATAATAAATACAAAATAACTTGTAGCATGCGAACATAATTCCTGGTAATTTCAAGATGTTTTCATTTGAACTCGTCAACAAATCAAGGAATTTGTCTAGTTTGTGGTAAAAAATTTTAGTAGTTGAATTCATGACGTCCTTTCCATCCTAGTGTGGGACTCCTCGGCAGTGCGCATCAACGATCCCGCATCACGAGATTTCAACCCAGGACCTATTAGTCTCTCGCGCGAGAGCTTAACCTCTAGACCGCTGAGCCGACATCCAACGTTGTTAATATTTAACTTCAACCTATCCATGAAGTTTCCCCGCCATCCATCATTGTCATCAGTGAGTTACTATCTCAAAATAGACCCAGTTGAACTCCACTGATCATGGCCGTCCAGTGCTTCCAGGTTTTCCATGGTGGTCTAGCTTCAACTGATTCATGAATTCAACTATTAAATTACTATAATATTCACCAAACCCCTGTCTGATTATAAAAATGTTTTTGCCTAATGTTTAAAAATTCCAATTAGAAAAAAATGTGGACGATTATTACTGATATCAATGAATAACAACTAGTAATTTGTATGTTATAAAACAAACTAGTCAAAATCATTTTATTTATATCTATGACTGAAGAGAATTCTATATACGATTGACTATTTGGTTCCATTGTTCAGTTCAATGACGTTGACATCTTTGGTTCGAATCTTTCCCCAAACCAAGATTTCGTCTAACTCAACACACTGTTCTTGTATAGAAGAATTGCTATCTACCCCAAGTTTTTCTAGATACTATTTTCTGTCAAATAGTGAATAAACGTATTATTGAATGTGAATATTTTGTTGACTTGAAAAAAAAACTAACGTTTTATAGTTATGTTATCACTAGTATTTGTTCAATATGAATTAGCGGTGTCATTCTTTGGGGATGAATCTCTTCACTTCATAAACCATAGTATTTGTTCACTGTCATGACCATTTGTTCAGTGAATATTCTATCAATCTAGGATACATAACAACTTAATGCCTGTATTGTTGATCTAAGCCTATTCGCTTTTATGATA